TTTTTTTTCCAAGATATTTTAGGCTTTTTTGAAACTTTTAGCGATAATTTCTTGATAACCACTGAACCAAATCCAATGAACTTTTTTTATTTTAATTCTACAAAACTATAGAATTAAAATAAAAATTTTTTACCAAATTCAATCAAGTAGTTATTGAGAAATCATCCTAGAAGTTTTAAAAAACTTTTGAATTTATAAGTAAATCCCGATGATAGATTGGTGGCAATCTGCAGGTCGTTTGCTAAATTTTGGTGGACCCACTAATCTACTCTTATTGGTGCGAGTGATATAAATCCAAAAAGGGAAATTAGCCATGTAAAATGTGATTACCCGGATCAGCCTGACATGTGAGCAAAGTGAAGAAAAACAAGAAAAAATAAAAAAAAAGCAAAAATACAAGAAGCAGAATATTTATACCTGTCTTGGGCACTAATTAAAAGTGATGGAAATGAAATTTTACATATAGAAAGTAAATGTTTATTTCTATAGCATCTAACTTCAACGTTCTATTATTTTCACGAACTTAGTTTATTTTTACGTTGAATTCCTTTTTTGGGTTTGTATCAATCACACAAATATGTATTTCCCTAAACTGGTATTATGCTTAAAATTGGGAGAGCAATACTTATACATTAACAAAATAGCTTCGAGTGTAATATAATTATGCGGATTGAATATTTATAAGAGATTCAGGTTGGTAATTAGTTGATAGGTAAAGGGTGAAGTATGTTATTATGTTATTACTTTATTTATTATACAACGGTCAGACCTATTGCTTATTCTCTTTATTAGTGTCTCTATATATTTTAGTTATGAAGAAATTTTAAATCCTTGCCAGTGGTTTCTACCCTTCTGAGGGTTACTCTTCTTTGTTGAGGGTTTTTAACCCCCTCGTAGGTGATTATAATCGCCAAACTATACCATGGTGAACCTTTCCCAGATCTTAATCCAAATAAGAAATATATACAAAATACACATTACTCTGGTTATATCGACACTCAAAAACATAAAAAAATTGTCCGATATATCCAGATGTCAGTTTAACCAGAGATATTTTTATATTAATTTTATAGGTTCAAAGTTTTAAAAAATGTCGTTATATCCAGATATCGATATAATCAGAGTAACGTGTAATATGTAATGATAAAACTATGGCACTAATTAAAGAAAAAAAATTTTAAAAATTCGAACATAACACCGGGAAGTTAAAACATAATTAGTATTTAATTTTGTAAACCAAGGAAATTTGAATAATTGACTAGAAAAATTATACTTAAATTCAATTTGTCAAGTTAAATTGACGATCTTTTAATTGGTTTTTATCGAAATTATAGTAGCAGTATATATATGAATAAAAAACAAAATTTTGATTAGAGTCAACAACACGAATTTGGTTAAAAAACACTAAATGGTGGATTGTCTAGCCCATTCTTATCTATTTATTTAAGTAATGCAAGCACAAAAAGAAAATTTAAACTAAGTACATGATAAAATTTAGAACTAGAACTTAGAGACTATATGAAAAAAATAATTCTTACTATGTATAAAATTTCATTTTCATTGTTTTTTTTTAATTGATGCATCAATATCAATTTAAGCATTAGTTTTCTCATGCTTTAACTTCTCACACTAGTATACTCATGAAAATAACTAATGCCAATACCAAACAATAAAACTAATATGCGAAAATTGATTAGTTTCTACTATAAAGTCAATATATTTTCAATTATCAATAATAAAGTCAAAAAAAATTCTACATAACTTGAATTTAGGAATTGCAATTATAATTTTTATAAAAACATGTGAATTATTTTAGCAGAGCGAGACAAAAAAAAAACAAGACAAATATTTAAACAAATACCTAGTGATTTTGACATCTTGTGGTATTGTGTTCCTCTTAACTGCATGTATGACAGGTATATTTTGCATGTAGTTTTTGCTTTTTCTCAGTTGCTGATTTATAATGTTTGTTCGCTGGACATTTTTTATGCTATAATACTAAAGGATTTTTAACTTGCTCAAATTTATTTTCATCGTTAATGTCAGCATTATGAATATTATTCTTTTCGATAGATTCTTAGTTTTGTTTTTCAGTAGATGAAGTCTTCGTTTTCTTCTGCCGATCGATAAATTGTTTTAACTATACTACTATTTCTTGATGATTGTTATATTCAATAGCAAGTTGAGCTGCCTATTGTGCAAGTCTCCAAATTTCACTATATTTAAGTTTTTTATATGCTGTATAGCGTAAAACTATACTAACTGTTTTAGGTACAGTTGAAATATTAGGAACTAATATTCTATCCAATCAATTTTTTGCAGATTCTTGATTTGTAAAGCAGCAAGCTTTTAGAATAGTATCACAGTTATTTTGCTTATTAATATACTATCGTGCAAGTATCATTTAAATGTAAAATCTTGCTTTTTTGGAATACATCATTACCCTAAAATAGTGTCAGTATATAATACCTCGATATGAAATAAAATTAACCACTACAATAAAATATATGTGCTTGCTATTTTCAGACCGTATGTCTGTAATCTTCCACACTTCTTGAATGTTGTTCTCACCAACCTTGGTAATCATTAATTTTAACAAGATCTTTTTAGAATCATAAAAGTCCTTAATAAACCTATCTGCCAAATTAAAATTGGGATCCTAAATATGATAAAATATTAGATAAGCTTATTTTTAGATCATAAATTATGTAGCACTATTAGTGTTCAGTAAAATCTAGAAAAGGAAATTATAATAATACACTTGGTTATTAATCATTATTATAATTTTCTTTTCTGGTTTCGCCTGAAATACTAATAATTAGCATTAAATTTACCTCATTAATGATTTTGACAACATCTAATTCCATGTGACTTGCGACAAAATAAAGATATTGTGCCATTTCTAAACATTTTGCAGATAGAATATGAGAAGTAAAATACTTAGACATTAATTTATCAATTTCAGGAAAAACCTAATATCTCACTGATGTAATTCCTATACAAAAAGATATAGTACAATATTCAAAAAATGATTCCATTGAGCTTTATCTTGAAGTCTCTCTTCTAGTACATTTACAAGATCATTCAAAGTACTATTTGATGTTAAGGATTATTTAATAAGGGTGCTTTACCCCAGTAAACAGGTATGAGCTTGTGCGTTTATGTTGAAAATATTTACAGCTGGAATTTAAACAACTTCTCGTATTGAAAGTTTGAATAATATTATTAAATGTACCTTAACATCAAATAGTACTTTGAATGATCTTGTAAATGTACTAGAAGAGAGACTTCAAGATAAAGCTCAATGGAATCATTTTTTGAATATTGTACTATATCTTTTTGTATAGGAATTACATCAGTGAGATATTAGGTTTTTCCTGAAATTGATAAATTAATGTCTAAGTATTTTACTTCTCATATTCTATCTGCAAAATGTTTAGAAATGGCACAATATCTTTATTTTGTCGCAAGTCACATGGAATTAGATGTTGTCAAAATCATTAATGAGGTAAATTTAATGCTAATTATTAGTATTTCAGGCGAAACCAGAAAAGAAAATTATAATAATGATTAATAACCAAGTGTATTATTATAATTTCCTTTTCTAGATTTTACTGAACACTAATAGTGCTACATAATTTATGATCTAAAAATAAGCTTATCTAATATTTTATCATATTTAGGATCCCAATTTTAATTTGGCAGATAGGTTTATTAAGGACTTTTATGATTCTAAAAAGATCTTGTTAAAATTAATGATTACCAAGGTTGGTGAGAACAACATTCAAGAAGTGTGGAAGATTACAGACATACGGTCTGAAAATAGCAAGCACATATATTTTATTGTAGTGGTTAATTTTATTTCATATCGAGGTATTATATACTGACACTATTTTAGGGTAATGATGTATTCCAAAAAAGCAAGATTTTACATTTAAATGATACTTGCACGATAGTATATTAATAAGCAAAATAACTGTGATACTATTCTAAAAGCTTGCTGCTTTACAAATCAAGAATCTGCAAAAAATTGATTGGATAGAATATTAGTTCCTAATATTTCAACTGTACCTAAAACAGTTAGTATAGTTTTACGCTATACAGCATATAAAAAACTTAAATATAGTGAAATTTGGAGACTTGCACAATAGGCAGCTCAACTTGCTATTGAATATAACAATCATCAAGAAATAGTAGTATAGTTAAAACAATTTATCGATCGGCAGAAGAAAACGAAGACTTCATCTACTGAAAAACAAAACTAAGAATCTATCGAAAAGAATAATATTCATAATGCTGACATTAACGATGAAAATAAATTTGAGCAAGTTAAAAATCCTTTAGTATTATAGCATAAAAAATGTCCAGCGAACAAACATTATAAATCAGCAACTGAGAAAAAGCAAAAACTACATGCAAAATATACCTGTCATACATGCAGTTAAGAGGAACACAATACCACAAGATGTCAAAATCACTAGGTATTTGTTTAAATATTTGTCTTGTTTTTTTTTTGTCTCGCTCTGCTAAAATAATTCACATGTTTTTATAAAAATTATAATTGCAATTCCTAAATTCAAGTTATGTAGAATTTTTTTTGACTTTATTATTGATAATTGAAAATATATTGACTTTATAGTAGAAACTAATCAATTTTCGCATATTAGTTTTATTGTTTGGTATTGGCATTAGTTATTTTCATGAGTATACTAGTGTGAGAAGTTAAAGCATGAGAAAACTAATGCTTAAATTGATATTGATGCATCAATTAAAAAAAAACAATGAAAATGAAATTTTATACATAGTAAGAATTATTTTTTTCATATAGTCTCTAAGTTCTAGTTCTAAATTTTATCATGTACTTAGTTTAAATTTTCTTTTTGTGCTTGCATTACTTAAATAAATAGATAAGAATGGGCTAGACAATCCACCATTTAGTGTTTTTTAACCAAATTCGTGTTGTTGACTCTAATCAAAATTTTGTTTTTTATTCATATATATACTGCTACTATAATTTCGATAAAAACCAATTAAAAGATCGTCAATTTAACTTGACAAATTGAATTTAAGTATAATTTTTCTAGTCAATTATTCAAATTTCCTTGGTTTACAAAATTAAATACTAATTATGTTTTAACTTCCCGGTGTTATGTTCGAATTTTTAAAATTTTTTTTCTTTAATTAGTGCCATAGTTTTATCATTACATATTACACGTTACTCTGATTATATCGATATCTGGATATAACGACATTTTTTAAAACTTTGAACCTATAAAATTAATATAAAAATATCTCTGGTTAAACTGACATCTGGATATATCGGACAATTTTTTTATGTTTTTGAGTGTCGATATAACCAGAGTAATGTGTATTTTGTATATATTTCTTATTTGGATTAAGATCTGGGAAAGGTTCACCATGGTATAGTTTGGCGATTATAATCACCTACGAGGGGGTTAAAAACCCTCAACAAAGAAGAGTAACCCTCAGAAGGGTAGAAACCACTGGCAAGGATTTAAAATTTCTTCATAACTAAAATATATAGAGACACTAATAAAGAGAATAAGCAATAGGTCTGACCGTTGTATAATAAATAAAGTAATAACATAATAACATACTTCACCCTTTACCTATCAACTAATTACCAACCTGAATCTCTTATAAATATTCAATCCGCATAATTATATTACACTCGAAGCTATTTTGTTAATGTATAAGTATTGCTCTCCCAATTTTAAGCATAATACCAGTTTAGGGAAATACATATTTGTGTGATTGATACAAACCCAAAAAAGGAATTCAACGTAAAAATAAACTAAGTTCGTGAAAATAATAGAACGTTGAAGTTAGATGCTATAGAAATAAACATTTACTTTCTATATGTAAAATTTCATTTCCATCACTTTTAATTAGTGCCCAAGACAGGTATAAATATTCTGCTTCTTGTATTTTTGCTTTTTTTTTATTTTTTCTTGTTTTTCTTCACTTTGCTCACATGTCAGGCTGATCCGGGTAATCACATTTTACATGGCTAATTTCCCTTTTTGGATTTATATCACTCGCACCAATAAGAGTAGATTAGTGGGTCCACCAAAATTTAGCAAACGACCTGCAGATTGCCACCAATCTATCATCGGGATTTACTTATAAATTCAAAAGTTTTTTAAAACTTCTAGGATGATTTCTCAATAACTACTTGATTGAATTTGGTAAAAAATTTTTATTTTAATTCTATAGTTTTGTAGAATTAAAATAAAAAAAGTTCATTGGATTTGGTTCAGTGGTTATCAAGAAATTATCGCTAAAAGTTTCAAAAAAGCCTAAAATATCTTGGAAAAAAAA